CTTTTAATTGCACACTGTAAATATATTAATTATATAGATCAAAAGAGCCTAATAAATATCCAATCCAAATTTCAAAATCCCAAACTCTTACGTTAAAATTCTCAGTCGCATCTTCAATAGTTCTATTGCCTCAGGTTTTTTTTTTCTCCAAATGCTCTAAAAATTGCAAAAGTAATTTAAAAAAGGGATGATGACATACACAAATTATTTGCATCAGGCTTTTTTTTGCTCGCAAGTATTTGGTAGCGTACCGAGCATTCGGTATACGAAACATGAGAAGAGCAAAATATTTCTATCGAATCTCCTGACGAAAATATCGACTCATTCTGCGAAAGGAATGACCCATCATTATATATCTTTAATCGTGCGAATACCTGTATTCCACCAGTGACTTTGAATGTTAAAAAACAGCAGTTGTTCCATAATACTTGACAGCATATCTCATTTGCTGTATCTGGATTCGGTAAAAAGTGATATTAACTCCAAGCTGATAGTATATCTTTATATATAGAATCCACATAGTTGGGTAAGAAGGCATGATTTATTAGAAAAATTGCATGAGAAGAAAGATAAACTTTGATTTGATTTGTTTAAATTTATTTACTATTTAAAGGTAATATTGCATCCTCCGTATCTAGTTACCTGTTAGTGGGAGTAGGTATTCTTTGTGTCGTCATCCTGGTGATGTCTGCAGCACTCATCTTCTTTTGCAGGTGTTTTGTTGTTTTCATAGTTTAAATACTGCGCTTCTTCTCTTGCAATAATATTTAGTCTTAATCTTATAATACATAAAGCTTACGCACTGAAACCTCAACATTGACCAATATAGCGCCATCTGATTTACTGTATATGAAAATATTGCATAACATCTGGGATGCACTGACCATGGGCAATAAATAGGACTAGCGACATCAGGAAGTCCTGTATGACAGCCTATAAGGGAGGGGATGGGGAGAAGCAAGGAATAAAAGAAGCAATGTGCCTACACTAATTATATACAATGGTTATTTATACTTGTTAAAAAACAATATGAGCTGCTGTTTGCATTGAAAATAAAACGACCTCAACTGACCGTTTGCATTACGCAGAGGATGTTTGTATTAATTAGTCAGCATTATTGTTCCAGTTTTTAAAATTCGTTCCGGTATTGAACCGAGAACTGTAATGGGACGATATGATTAAGCATTGGAAAAGATAATGATACAATATTGAAGATGGGAGACATTATATGCAGCTACGGTTTTAAATTGAATTTGCTATTATTTCATTTTCTATAACGCTTATTCTATTTTCTTATAATATGCTCTTCTAAACTACTGCCTTGAAGCGTGGCATTTTATTGAATACCAAATATCGTACTTATGATGGAAAAACCATTTTGCTGGGTCTTACGAATTTGAGTTTTGATTGTATGTAGATGTGGAGGTGCTCCTTTTGTAGTGTGACCGACTGATTCTGTAACTGACTGATAGCGCAATAGTGGATTTTAGAACTCTTAGCTATTTCTCAGACACTGGTTTACCAATTTTATTCACAAAAAAAATGGACTTGTTACGGTATGTGAGGCGTAATTTTTTATATGCATAACTTGCTTGTACTGGACATTGTTTGGGGGATTTGAACCAATGGAGCTTGTACCTTGGGGTGTGAGATTTCTTGTAGTTTAATGGTTGCATAGATCAATAGAATTATGGCTTTATACATGTAGGTCTAATAGTTGTAGTTGCTTGTAAACGCCCTGGGAAGTTATGTAATACTTAAAATGGGCACTGACATCGTGGGCAGGTCAAAGGCTTTTCGTTTGCCAGTCATTTCGCTAATCCCCAATAGAGCCTTCTTTTTTTTGTAGAGCCTTCTTTATTAAAGGCGAATGTATTGTTATTATGTGATTACGTTCCTTCAGAAAAAAAATTGAAAATGTAGGCTAGGTCTATAACATATTAATGTCACAGTACAAGTTAGATTACTGCATGCAGAATGCCGTTACAATCATTTTTTACATTATAATATCTCAGCTTTCTTAGTCTAATAATCTCTCAATTATCATATTTTGCATACCGGTATTATTAAATTTTTGCGCAAAATTTGAAATATACTTGTGCTGCTATGCTGCTCTAGCAGTATGTGACAATTTGAATTTCTATGTATGGAAAGAAATATATACAACTAACAAACACTAAAATGATTAAAAATTAAACCAGTCGTTACATAAAGTAATTATAAATGTATTATGCAAATGATATTACTTATATATTATGACAGTTTTCTTTTTCTTTCTTTTTTTATTATTTAGATTCCATAATTCTAAGAAAAAAAAGAAGACGGAGCATTCCAAGGTGATAAAGTTGGAATCACTTTGTGAGGATTCAGCTTATGAAGAGTTACACACGTACATGTCAATAGAGGAAGTATACAGTAACCTGCCGTTGTAGTTTAATAATACCAGGCCTAAAGGTTAGTTAATTTTAGTCTGTACAGTTTATTATGGCAAACCATCAGTTGAACATGGGGTTCCACTTTGGCATCAGTGGCTATTCTAAAGTGCAATCCTATAATATAATATAATTGAAGAAAAAATCATAACTAACCTCTTTAAATGCATAGAAAAGAATTGTTTAGTTAAGAAATCTTGTTTTCTTTTTTGATAATTTAGGTTCTACTAAAACAGAAGAGCAAGATAACACAAAAGTTAAGTTTGACATTTTTCTGTCATGTTGAAATTCAAGATGGCCGCTTTCAAAATGTTAAAAATTCGAATATTTCAGTATAATTCCACATCTCCTTTATGTAAAGAGGTAAATTTTGATGTAATCTTTTGTTTTTGGGCTCTTTGAAGAGCCCAAAAAAACATAGTTTCAAAAGCTAGGATGGCAGCCATTTTGAAATTCAAATTCAAGATATAAGCCGCCACAAAATCCTTAAAAATCAAATATTTTGGTATGTAATTTCATTTCTCTTCGATGAAAAATGCTAAATTTGGTGTTTAAACATATGTTATTGGGCTCGCTGAGTCCAATATACATGGTTTCATAAATCTAGGATGGCAACCATTTTAAAATTCAAGATGGCCACTATAAAAACCATCGAGAATTGAATGTTTTCCACTTCTTCTCAATCAAAAATGGTCAAATAATATGTTATTGTGTCATCTGAGTTAAATAAAGATGGTTTCAAAAAGCTATGATTGCTGCCATTGAAATTCAAGATGGCCGCTAAATAGTTTATTTTTCTAATTCCCCTTTTTTAATCGAAACGGTAAAAATGTGGTGTCTAAACACACGCTATTTGTCTCTCCTAGCCCAATAAACATACTTTCAAAAAGCAAGGAGAGCAACCATGATATATAAAAAATGTATGTATATAAATATATAGGCCTAAATACATGTTATTGCAGCACATAATACATGAAGCATTATTGTATAGATTATGCGGTACCATATATATCTACCAACATCTAAGGTATATAAGTAAACATCCATCAACATGTACTGTATACGTAAACACCACTTATATTTCGAAAATCCAAATATATAAAGATGTTAAAATAATGACTACGGTAGATAGGGCTAATTAATTGTTATTTTTAATACACATGAATGTTGTACTAGTAAACGCATTATGTTTTCAGCAGAATACCGTAAAACCTCGAATAGAAGCTCAATGGGCTTAATCTCGAGAAGAACATCTCGAATTGAAGCCCCCTCTTTAGTTTGCAAAAGTTGCCTCGAAAAGAGGCCCTCAGTAACAGTACATACACTGTACATAAATTTAAAAGAAACAAAAATAAATTTAAAACACGTTTTATCTATACAGTAGTTTAGATGATTTAATGTCGGTTAATACATTTCATGATACATAATAATAATCACAGTGGCCTATCTATTGTTTTATACTGTAGTAGTAATTCCTAGAATTTACAGTATTCATTTAAACAAAAAAAAACTGACCTCTTTACATTGCAAAAGTAGCCCCGAAAAGAAGCTCATTAATAATAATAATAATAATAATAATAAAAGCCTAGGGCTTTTATTCGCGTTTTATGGTATGCTATTTATGAAGAGTGGCAGCACATCATTATTAGTATTTTGTAAGTAAGAATTTCTTTTGTACAAATCCATAAATTTAACAAAACAAGCCAGTGATATGAGACAATTATAAAGATGCAAATCTAATATCATGATTTTTCGATAATTTGGTTATCTTTTATTTTCGCTAGTATTTGGGGACGTACTGAGTATTTGGTACGACAACACGTTGGGTAGGGCAAAACATAACTCCTACAATGTTTTCCTGACGTAAATCCATATCGCTATAGCACTTGCAGTACCCGTTGCTACTAGTGGATCGGATTCATCGTTAGTCACCAAGCGCAAGCTTGCGATGAATCCGATGTTCCAAGTGTGATCGTGGTTGCTAATGGGGAGACAGGGAGCATCAGACTTCGGTGTAACAGCCATAATTGATAATACAGTCGGTTTTCCTGTTGCACAACATTTTAATTTGTACGACCATTCAATTGATGACATTAAATTTGTAATGATAGTTACAGGTTTTAAATCTCTGATAGACGTTGTGCTGGACTACAATGGATCTTAAAATTAAACACTCATAAATTTGGTATCAATAAAGATCTTGGATTCATTAACGAATACTCCACGAAATTTATCATTATTATGCATACATTTTTATTTATATATTATATTTACATAACAGTACTTTTTTTGTAATTAGCAGAATTAGACTACCCATTGTCACTATCACGATCATTATTCACTCAGTTGCTTATATTGCCGACAGTTTTGTTTATTTCTCTTGGCTCTTTGATATAGGCCATTTCACCGCCAACATTGTCTAGTGTTACCGACAGATTATTGGTTAATTGGTCACTCTTCACACTTGCTCATTAGAACATTCCCATTATTTTTAGGATTTTATTTTGTATTTCTCATTCATACGACACGACTTACGCTGAGGAAGAACACAGGCGTGTCAGAAATATTCGTCTTGAATAAATTGTATGTCTCTGTATACAAGCGTTTTATTTTCGTTTGTGTTTTATAT